TACATCCAGAAAAGAATGTCCTGTTTCATGCTTTCACGTGAAATTGATCATCATAATTTCTGAATTTATCAAAACAAAATATATGGATAGATTGAGGAAGTCGAGGTTAATTCAATGAAACAGAGCAAACAGCCAATCATTACAATTTGACCGCAAAAAAACTCACAGAAGTCACATACTTGAACTACAGACAACGACGGATTTTAAGGACCCCAAGTACTTCGAATTTGTGTCATTGTTCGAATGTATGATTGGCTAAACATATATCGAAATTCGATAGCATTATAACCAATAATTTTATGGGGGCGTGCTTTCTTGCAATTTCGAAACAGTCACGTATTTTATATTATTCGGTACACGTCACTTGATCTATCTGTTTACAGTGGTCGAACGCATCGACCGACCTTTTTTTTCAATTTGCGTGTTTATAGATGAATTTTTTCATAACAAATTGTTGTACTGCTCAGCGTTTTCTTCTGAATACGATGGACTTGGTCACATTCCTTCAAACATAATACTCTTCATGAAATGGTCACTCAAAGTCAAGAATGATAATCAATTTGCGTCCTAACAGTAGTCGACAGCTTGGAGGGGGCTTCTCAATTTTTTATCAACTTTCAAGGAGTTTTTGTAAAACACGATAAAATTGCAACGATCAGCTGGATACTTAAGATTGACCAATCAAAACAAAGGTGACATGTTACTAATCAGATGCAGATGCCACTGGAGTCATCACTGTTATCGCTACTGACATCGCTGTCGCTGTCGTCGTCGTTTTGTCCTCTTGGTCCTTGATGTACTGGGCCAGCCTCTCGAGCTGCCGGTCGGCCTTGTGAATGCAGCCCTTGATGCTGCTTGGCTTCAACTCGTCGAAAGCTTCGACGAGCCATAGCAACTACCTCGATGTCGATTTTGTCGACATGTACTTTCAACTTCTTCCATAATTCAGCCTTTGTCGCATTTGTGAAAGGAACTGCGAACATCGTGCAAGAATTCTGTAAGACACACTTCTTTTGACCATACTTCGGTGTATCTAGAGGAAGACCTTTATGGTATTTTGCATTGTCCATTACTATGACAGCATTGCTCAATCCAAGCTCTTCTATTTCACTGAGAAGTTTGGAGAACCACTTCACATAATATGCATGGTCAAACATCCCATGATAGTCCTTTGTTTCAGGCCTACCAGTTCGTTTTCCCCCTTGAAAAATGTCCAAAACAAAGAAGTTTACTTTCCATACAGCCTTTGTCCAAAATTGCAGCAATAAAACAAAATCTTTCACCTTTGTGCTTTTCTTTGACCTCAATATCAAGATCATCACTTGGATCGCACAACGAATCGTCGTGACGACTGTAGTGATGATGTATATAGCTTTCATCCAAGTATATAATGGGTCGTCTATTGACAATGCATTCCAGAAGAGCACTCATTTCAGACACATACAAATCACGATGTTGAATATTTGCAGCACACATTCGAAGTCCGAGACTCTTTTTCTTTTTACCGCGCTTGTAGCCAAGTTTGGCCAGGGCCCGCTGCGTAGCACGCACGGCGGCTTCCGACGACCACTGACACTCCACATCAAAGTCCAAAAGATGTTGTGACCGCAAATAATGGGCCACGTCTTTCGCCACTGTCCTCACGCGGGACTTGCGGCGCTGGCGGACAAACT